CCGACTGGAACGTTGTTTGATTGTAGCCGTGCTTGAGCCATTTCGGACTTCCAACTCAGTGGATTATTATGACGACAGAATTGATTGGAGGAAAGAAAAGATGCGGCGATGACAATATCATAACTGTATAGCAGATATTGTGTCACCCAGATATTGGTCTAATTCGCAAGCATCTGCCGCGTTAACGGCAGCAGCCCCAGAAGCTTTCTATTTATGCCAATAGGGCAAGGGATACTAGCTGGGATACCTCAAAAATCGAAACCAAGCGATACTAGCTGCGATACTGCGCGGAGGCTACGAAGCTGGCGACGATACAGCTGCTCATACACGTCATACACAGCAGCTCACACAGCTTGATGCATAAGCTTGCCACAGCTTACAGCAGTAACAGCTGCGGCAACAGGCAACTAACCACCCAGTTATACATACAGCACATAGGCCAGGCAGCAGGGCAAGGCAGCCAATATGATGCATTCCGAAGTCCGCGAGTTCGGTTTCGCCGGGGTCAGCCAGGCAGACCGGCAAACGGATGACGGATCGGAACGCGTCCATGGGGAAACTATTTGCGGTACAGTAAACAGACAGGTTTGAAGCTTCCCAGCAGGCGTTCGTCGAAGTTGTGTTGTTCTCTTGCCGACTCCAACCAGATAACAAACATATTGACTCCGTATCATCCCCTGGCCTTGTTCAGATTGTTAGAAGATCTCCTTTGTGATTTTGGGTTGTTGGAGTGTTAGAGCATGAATCGCGCATTGTTCTTGGATGAAACGCCGGCGAGTCCTGCGTCCAACGCTCAGACAATGGAGGACGGGATAGCACCCTCAAACGCACGCGGATAGAATATGAATAGAATACAAAACTGACCGTTCGGAAGTGGGAGATGGATGGGAAGCAGAGAGTAGACGCGTTTAAGTCCACCGAGACTGCCCGACGAGCCTGCCCGACGTTGACGATATTTTGGAGGCGATCCACTCTGATACCTTCGCCACACAACACGCTCATTCAGCTCGGATTCCTTGATAGTATCGGCACCAAATTTCGACAACCACCATTCACAAACACTTCCGGTCTTCACCACCTCTACCTTCCTTTTATTTCGATTCCCTGAGCGTTGACCATTGACGATACCAACGAAATCAACGACCAGGACTCTTGCCTGTGACGACTGTATATACGACCCGCGCGACGCAAAACGTCAGAACAGCTGTCAGAACCAGCAATAAAGCTTCCGGAAAGTGGAGAAAGAGGAGATCGTGATCGAACACACCCATTACGCACGCCGCCTGTACAACACCGGCATCACAATTTCGCCTGTGTTTCCCGTTTTGGCTCGCCGTGAACACTAACTACTGGTAAAAGGGGAAAAGGTGAGTTTCTGTGTTTTGGGTCGCGTGTTGGTACACCGCCTCCAATATTTCATCTCATGTCATCTTCCACTTGCTTCTTGTCATCACCTGCTGACTCTTCACGACTCCGACTCCTTCCTGCATAGCATTTCCCTACACCTCGACGGCCACTCATATACTCGCTCGCCGCCTTCACCCTCGATACCCACCGCTCGAGCATTTCAGTGACTGCTTGGCGTTCAAGGACCATCGCTCCTATCGTCACTGCTCGTCGTTTTTCAATTGCATTCTATTCGACCTCGCTTTCCCAGTAACCACAGCATCCAGCTCATATTGCCAGTTGACCAGTACCCTCTCTTTCAGCAAACGACCCTCGACAGTCGACGCCGCTCTCCTCGTATCGATCTATAATTTAGCCGACGGACATTTTTTCTTCTCCCTTCATTCTTGCAGCAGTAAACAACAAACCGATATCGTGATCGTTCCACTTTATTCACCTTATACCACCACTTCCCTTTTCCACTTTGATATCAAACACATACACATCAACAATATGAAGACATCAACATTCACCGTCACTACAGCTCTTGTTGCCATCGGTGCTTCGGCATCGCCATTCATCGGCACACCAGGTCCGTCAAGACATGCCAAACGGGCCAACACACCGACACCACTCACATTCGAGATCGTCGGCAACTCTGGTGTATCCGCACAGATGATGTTCAACCCAGGTGTCGGACCATATATCTACATCCTCGACAAGACGGAGAACAACCCGATGAACGTTACCGGTCAGTACGGCACTCATGCCGCTTGGGGAACCAAGTACAACTGGCAGACAAACGACGTAGAAGCCATGGACGTCGACAGCAACACCTTTTGCGCCGGCGGTGCGCCTCTTGCAAACGGTACCTGGGCCATCTTTGGTGGTAATCAGCCAGTAACGACAGGTGGTGTTGCTACGACCGGCCAAGCCGCCTACAAGGACACCGACGGTGGAACCGCTATCAGGATGCTCACCCCTGACGCTGCGGGAACTGCCGAATACATCCAGGGTAGCCAACCGTTCAACAAGGCAGATGGTGACACGGGTGGATGGCTGCAGATGACGGGTCGACGTTGGTATCCGACAATCGAACCTCTCGAAGACGGTAGTCTTATCGTCATTGGTGGTGACAAGAACGGAGGTGAGTAGTCCAAGCACTCTGGCGTGGCAGGTTCCAGAAGCTGACTTGTTGTCTTGTTTAGGTTATGTCAACACTGTTGCACAAGACAACCCTACCATCGAGTTCTTCCCTCCCAAGGGCGACGGAAACGCTGTCAGCCTTCCCTGGTTGTCAGAAACTCTTCCCGTCAACCTATACGCTTTGACCTGGATGTTGCCTTCTGGCAACCTGTTCATGCAGGCAAACCGATCGACTATTTTGTACGATTGGCACAACGACAACTACACATACCTTCCAGACATGCCTTACGCCGTTCGAGTTTATCCCGCATCGGCATCAACCGCCATGCTGCCTCTTACACCGGCGAACAACTACAAGGCTTCCATTCTCTTCTGCGGTGGTTCCAACCCACCACAATGGGGTGACGACGGTAGTTCGCGATACAACGTCACTGCTATTCCGGCCGACAACACTTGTGTCCGGATCTCACCAGACGACGCCAATCCCAAATACGAAGACGACGACTTTTTGCACCAAGGACGATCTATGGGCTCGTTTGCCTACTTGCCTGATGGAACGCTATGGATGGGTAACGGTGTTGCTATGGGTACGGCTGGCTACGGTGACGACAAGTGGAGTGTCGGCGAGTCTTACGGACAAGCACCGATTTACACACCCGGTCTTTACGATCCTTCGAAACCTAAAGGCTCCAGGTGGTCATTCGACTTGGCTGCTTCTACCGAGGAACGGATGTACCATTCAACCGTGGTCTTGCTCGCCGATGGCAGTTTGATGATTTCTGGTTCCAACGTGAGTTTATCGAACGTTGTGTGTATATGGCTTGTGCTGATGGCTTGCGTCCGATCTAGCCCAACAAGGACTACACAACCGCTCAATGGGGCACGAAATACTCGGTTGAACGATGGTACCCCGAATGGTTCAACGAGGCACGACCTGGTACCGCCGGGTTCCCCTCGACCTTGAGCTACGGTGGAAGCTACTGGGACATCAAGCTGAACACTACGGATGAAGCCGTTGTCAAGTCGGCCAAGATCAACGTTCTTCGAGGCGGCTTCTCTACCCATGCCATGTCCATGGGCCAGCGGTTCTTGGAACTGTCATCATCCTACACGATTGACACTGATACCAATACCACCACCCTTCACGTTAGCCAGATGCCACCCAACGCTGCGCTTTTCCAACCCGGTCCTGCCATGATGTTCTTGGTTCTGGACGGTGTACCATCTTGGGGGGAATACGTAATTGTTGGCTCGGGTTCTATTGGCAAGCAACCTACTGCCGCTGCCGAAACTCTACCAGGCAGTAGCGTCCTCGTAACAGCACCCAGCATTACTGCATCGACAACCGGAAGCGCACAGACCGGTTCATCGACGGCCGTGTCACAAAACGCCAAAAGCGGAGCCATCAGCACGGCTGTCTCGTTGCGGATGGTCGTCAGCACAGCGCTAGGTCTTTGTTTGCTGTCGTTCCTGGCATAGCCTCGGTAATATAGAGAGAAAGATAGATGAATCTATGTTTAATTGAATGATATAGCTTTGCGCGTGACCACAACTGTTGCATTGACTCCGTTTCGGGCATGATTCCCCCCACGTAGGTGTAATGACATTAATGAAGGCCGCCTTTTATACATACATGAAGCGGAATAGCCTGGTATCTTCGCTGAGCGCCGTTGTTTCTTGCCACGAGAGGCCTCACAGGACCTGTACACGACAGGTTGCTTTCTCGCCTTTTGCTCTTCGACGCCTGTCGAGGCGTCTTGTATATTCTTATGGGCTTCATTGATTGGCCAGTGCCGCCGATCAACTCATTACTCACGTGGATAGCTGGCTGCATTCAGGTGTTGTGCGAGCGACGGACTTTTGTAAACGCCCTGTAGACGCATGTTTGGAAAGGGGCTGTACCAGACTCGAGCGCAATGATAATAATGCGGGTATCATTCCCAAGCATTCGTCCACATGGTCTCCGTATGACCGATGAGATGCATCATAGCGAACGGAGTCAGGTTGGCTGTGTTATAAACAGAGGGATCAGAGAGCGTTGATGTCTGGTGCAAGAGCGCACGCGGTGCACAGTTGACGGACTGGGAGGAAGCTTCGACCGTTCAACACACAGGACACGCCCGCACAACACTTTTCGAACGTCCAAGGTCATTAGTGAATCATAAGAAAAACGGCAGCCAGACATCGCTCACATTCTGACCGCTGGATGCCCTGAGTGCCAAACAACCTGGCCGACTGAGGTGCGGTGACTACTCTGTCAAGCCGATGGCGGTCAAGCTCGGTGGTGGCCGACGTGCATATCAAAGCAGGTAAGGAGAACAAGAGGTCATAATCTATCCAGTTGGCATGTCGGACATGCAGCCCGGAAAAAAGGGGGCAGAAACGGTTGTTGTCCAGTACAAAAGGAGACCTGTTGAGCCCCAGCGGAACCTTGTCTGTTATTTGCAAAGGAATTCTCAAACATCTATGCCCGATTAGCGCAGTGGTAGCGCGTGACACTTCTATTAACCTAGAAAAGGAATGTCGAGGTCGCGGGTTCGAGCCCCGCATTGGGTTAACCTTTTTTTTGGACTTTTTTTCGAGATGCATTGAGTCGGCGTGATATACGTGATCAGTGAAGGCGGCGCGGATGCAGTCAGGCAGTTCGTATATAGGATTCCTGTACGCAAGTTGTTAGGCTAACGGGTCAGATTATAAAGCTGAACTCATTGTTGAACGGAGGCTAGCTAGTCCGACGGTCAACGGTTAAATCACGAGTCAATTAAATGGTGAAGAACAAGCTAAGTTACAACAGTCTCTTTGGTTGTGGGTTTTGCTGTATATAGACGAATGAAGCAGACCGGAAGAGACTTTGGGTATGCTGTTGACACTGGTTCTGTGAAATCTGACAAGTCTGGTTGTTACATCAACTCTGGTTGATCTGGTAAAGGTGCCTTCGAATTCTTTGTGTCTCCTTCCAAGGCGCATCTTTTACAGTACCTGCGTTAAATGAGGAGCAGAAGTTGGTAGTCAATACCGTCTTGCCTTGGTGATGGCCTTGGTGATGGAGTCATTTCCAGGCGAAAAGAAAAGTTTCCGCAGTGTCGATTCCGTTCCAGGGCAGCACGAAGAAAGAAACAGAAGCTAGGAAGTTCCGGTTGAGCTGCTCAACTTCATGCGCTTTCCCAGACTGCCTCCGCATCTACTTGAACTCAAAGTCGGCACACCCATCATACGTTTGCGAAATATGAACCCCACAGATGGCCTCTATGATGGTACTCGCTTGAGCGTGACGAGCATGAGCAATACGGTACTCGAGGCGATGAGTATCACCGGAGACTTTCGAGGCAAAAAGGTCTTCATTCCGAGGATTGCGCTTGATCCTGAAGACATTGTATGTGTTGATGCTTCCGTTAGCTGTTCTCGTCGCTGACGTCTTGAATATTCACAGACCATGGCAGTATAGGTCAGACAATTGCAGTTTCCGGTGAAATCGGCGTTTGTTTGTGCGATCAACAAAGCGCAAGGCCAGCCACGGTCGATCTGGACTTGACGAATGTGGTCAATGTGGTGTATCCTCAGATACTGCAGCAGTAGCATGTATAGTATATTTTGGTGTCTTTTCCATAATTATTTATAGCGTTCACGTTCTTTTCGCCTCAAGTGGCGAAAGAAAGAAAAAGCAAAAAACGCAAAATGAAAATGAAAAAGGAACAAATTTGGAATCCAAAAATGAGTCGATCTCAGATCATGGGAGTTGACACGTTTTATATAGTTGGTCATGGCCTTACCCTAACCACCTTTGAGCTTACAGCTGGCTTCCAAAATGACCTAACCCCTGACCCTTCCGTTCAGGAAATAGGACAAGCGCCCGAGATCAAACTCTCCCCCACCGTCCGCTTGCCCAGCCTGACCCGCTCTGACGTGACCGTTTCTCAAACGGGTGAACTGCTCGTCGCTTTGAAACAAACCTCGTCCGACGCGCGGCGCGCGGATTGCAAATAGCGAAACGATCGGTGAGTGATAGAGTGATGGCTGACACTTTTGATGTCAGCCAACTGCGGACTTGTCGGACATCCCCCGATGACCGACGATGCATCTGTCGGCTGATGACATGATGTCGGGTGATGCCGCATGCTGGCTAAAGTCCTTCATGAGACAACCCTCCACTCAGTCCTCTGACGCGCTCCCAAGCCGTTCAAGCTTTTCCCGGGTCCCTTGGAGCGTTTCCAAGCTGTTTGCCCAAGTGGCCGTCTACTGTAACGGCCACCGAGACACCACAACCGACAGTGGAAGCTCTATGTCTGCGATCCAGTCTTATCGAAGTGTTGTTTGCACGGCCCGGATATTGAAGTGAACAACCGAGAACTATCGCAAGGTGACGGAGCTGAACAGAATGGGGTTTAACATGGACTTGCCATCCAGCCTCGATCCATCGGGGGTGGGAGGTCTAGCTTACGTAAGTGCAAGTGAGCTGCACCGTTGTCATGGACTCTAGCACAAGCTGTTAGCGTTACCTGAGAGGACATCGATTGAGACTCTAAGTGAAGCACAAGTGTAGAGAGACACAGCCTACAACGTAATCCACGTCATACCTGACTAGACTCTGCATCAAAAACTGCAGATTACACTAACTGCAATGCAGTATGTATGATCTGCACACACTGCAAAACCAACACACTGCAATGCAGTATAGTCCTTTCGCATTTACTGCCACACACTTCAAACTCCACTAACTGCAATGCAGTATGATACTTTTGCAGTTAGGAAAGCTAACTGCAAAACCCACTAACTGCAAAGCAGTATGATACATTTGCAGTTAGGGACTTCTCTTGTCACTTTGCAGTTAGGATCACGGAATACTACATATAGAAGACTTTCAGCTTGTACTTTAGACTCTTCATGCTTTATGATTCACCCTTTGATTTACCTTTAATTCCCAAGCTACCTTGAGTGCAAGACTTCTCAGGACTAGCTACCCTCGTCTTCCACCCAACGTAATAACAAGTATCGTCTTAAGTAGTAAGTGTACATCGTTTGTGCTAAGTTCCCATTACAACGGCAGTGCTAACTACCTACGTAGTATAGACCACTTGCCCGCGACAACAAGGGTCGCTAGTTCTCGAGAAAGTCTCGTACTCAAGGTAGCTTCGGCATTAATGGTGAAGCAAAGGACGAGTTGAAAGGTCATGATCTAGTGTTACGATTAGTAACATAACGGCCGTTTCATATCCGTACTTGTGTCGCGGGTAAGTGGTCAGTCTTGCTAGCCAAAACAGCACTACCGTTGTATTAGGATCCTAGTACAGTTATACTATTCGAGTTACGAGAGACGATCCTTGTATATACGCTGAGCTAAAGTCAACAGCAGCTAGTCCTTGTGATGTCTTGCACTGAGGGTAGCCCCATGAAGCAAGGTGAATCAAAGGGTGAATCAATAGTCGTGAGCTAGATCAGAATACAAGTGAGATGGCTGCTATATATATACAATCCGAGATACTATGGCTAAGTGAGAAGAGGCGAAGTACTAGCTTCATTCGTCCATACTTCGGCGAAGCATGAGAAGGCGAAGTATGACGGAAGGTAGCTTTGCTCGTGCTAGCTTCGGCGAAGCGTGCGTTGGTGAAGTATGGCAGACTTCACTGGTCCTAACTTCGGCGAGGTGTGGTGCGGTGAAGTATAGTGAAATTCATGAGCACTGGCTTCGGCGAAGCGTGGTGAGGTGAAGCATGATTGACTCCAGGAGTACTAGCTTCGGCGAAGTATGGCATGGTGAAGTCATTAGTATGATGAAGGAAGCTGACGTAAGGAATAGGATGACAAGTGATGTACTGTCATATCTATCTATTACACGTGATCAAGTAGGTTATAGCTCTACAGTTTGGGAGAAGTGAAGTCGACGTTGGCAGCAACAACGTCATAAATTCTGCTTGAGGGAGGCGACGGCCAAGGTACATCATGCCCTCTTCGCGATGGATAGGACGCCGTCAACGTTACGTAAACACACACGATACGTATCGATGATATGATTTACCAAAGTTGCTTGGTCATATAACACAAACTGCGTGATTATGATTGCATATAGTAACAAACATCGCACCGGTCCCTTGGTGCAGTGGTAGCATAGCAGACTTCGAATCTGTCGGTCGTCGGTTCGAATCCGGCAGGGATCTAATGGGAATATGTTTTTGTTCTTTCGCGGACCAAGCGGAGGGATCTGTCGACCAACGACACTTACCTTCACGGCATTTGTCATGCAGAATTGACACAATAATGTTCACCCCTTTTTTCTCGTTATGCACCAGGTCCAAAGTCGACAGAGGGTGATGGCAGGCGTCCCGAACGTAATTTTTCGGGCCCGATTTATGAACAGCGAGCACATGAACGGAAGCGGTGTAAAGATCCTATCGTGATCTTCCCAAGCGACCAAACGGTGCAGGTAAAGTACATAAGGGGTTCAACATTTGGCTCTCATCAGCCATGGTCACACTGTCGGAACGGCTGGGACCAGCTCACCCTGTACGGCAGTAACAACCCCGGACTCACCGCAAATCCGCAATTACCTTTCTTCTCAACTTATTAGCTGTCCCGAACAGCAGAGTTCCAGTCGTCACTTCAATTACACATCGAGGAGTGGGGATCCCGTATCCAACGAGAACGAGTTTAGCTATACATATCCCCAAGAGGAGTCACGTTCGATCTCGGGTTCGTGACTTGCTCGGCTGATCGTCGCCATATAAATTACTGATAAGGCCTCGTGCGAACTGCGAGCATACATCCGGGCAAGCCGACCTTGACCCATCTGCGGGGTGAGGTACAAGCGTACACTAGTACATGCTCATTATCCGTTGTTGTGTAGAAGCCGTATAAGTATTCATGTCTAATACGAAACATACTGGGTATACATCATGGGGTCTAACTGGTTCTGTCTCCGTATTCTTTCGGTCTGTAGTCCCTTGAAGCGATAAAGGCGTGGCCAATCGAAAGGCAAATATGAGAGAGACCGAGGGGAAGGTACAGGTTGCGGGCAAGTAGTTGGTGCTGCCGTTACCTACTATACATATCACAGTATTGCCGTTGTATGCGGATCCTAGGCCCTAGCACAATATACTTATTACGTAAGAGTTCAAACGGGACTACAATTTATCTCAAGTAAAAGAGAAGGGTAGCTAATCCTTGAGACAGTCTTGCATTCAAGGTTCCTTCGGAATTACAAGGTAAGTAGGATGAATCATGTAGCACGAGAGTTATTACAAAAGGGGCAAAGTACTGGCTGTACATACTATATACTTATTTAGAATGTATGACGGTCCAACTTTCGAGGGAAGTGAAGTCTTCCAAGAGAAGTGAAGTCTTCCAAGAGAAGTGAAGTCTTCAAAGGTAAGTGAAGTCTTCAAAGGGTAAGTAAAGTAAGTAAAGCAAAATTGGAAAGCGAATCAGTGAAGTAGCGAAGTGCATCGGCAAAGTGCTGAAGTTACTGAAGTGAAGTGTCGATTTGAATTGTGAAGTGAAGTATCTGGAGTCAATGCAGTCAACTCAGAGTTGATGGTAAAGTCATGTGGACGAGTGTGCATCGA